ATAGATAGATAGATAGATAGATATTATCCGATTAGGTGGAAATCTGCAAAAAACAAATACCAAAGAATCAGGAACATAAACATTTTTACCTGTTCAGGATTCTTCCAGGCTGAGGTTGGTGTTTGTTAATCGACGTTTTCCATGTCACTTACGAGTTTCCTCAGCAGGATCTACAACAAACGGCACTTTGTATTACTCAACATTCTTTTCAGATTGTTTTAATTGCATTTTTCCTTTTTTGCCTTATTTTTATTTTGTTATATTCTTTTTAACCTGGCATGTTGCTGACTTACTGCAGATTGAAAAATGATTGTTCATAAGCAGCATGTACCTGTATCTGAGCCTTATGTTGAACCATGCTGCCAACTCCATATTTAAATTGTTTGATCGTCAAATCATGACCACAGGAATCTGCACCGACTGGTATCAGCTTCAGTTTGCGTGCCAGCTTGTGGTACTCTGCCACCTTAAAGTCCACCTGCAGGAGAATGGTGAAACAGAAGAAAGAAGTAAAATGACCGATGGTTTGAGAGAGGGGTAAAAGAAGCTATTTTTGTCAACCTAGAAAAACCATCACTCAACAGAGGAGGTGGGCTAAGACAACCTATCACCCACATACAAGGCTCTCTTAGGAACAACACCCAAAAGATTCTCCTCAGTTTCACACAACAAAGAGGCAGGTGACTGCTGGAGTTCATTATTCTCTTTGTTGATCCTCTCTACATCAGCAGGTTTAAACTTCTGATTCTTCAGCAGATGCTGCAGTTCCTCTCGCTCATGTTTCAGGGACTCCAGATGACTAACTGCAGAACAGGAGGATCGTGACAGTCAGTAAGGCCTTAATAAAATTGATTCTATATAAAGGCAGATCTTAGTCATATTGACTGAGAACAGAAAAACAATAGACTTGAAAATGTGTAACACTGATTAGGGTATAGTCATATTGAGCTGCCCAACTCATCACTGAAATTCCAAGTTCATCAGCTACACCTATAATCTAAATCTAAGTTTTACCTTTGCTTCATTCAGTTCAGCATCTCTGTTTTCCAGGTTAACTTTAAATGACTCCAGCTTTACTTTGTCCAACTTCTTGGTCATTAAACGGTCCTTTTCAGGAAAAAAAGAGAAACGGCAAATAATTTTGCAAGTTTCTCTTGGCCAAGAATAAGAATTTGTTTTGTCATTTTTACAGTGCAAAAACATTCCTGATGTTTCACTCAAACACAGATGTACAGTCAGAAGATAAATTTTAAGTCTTTGTACCATCTGGCTTTCCTTCTCCAGATGTTCAACCTCATTACTGAGAAATTTGTGCTTCTCATCCAATGATGCCAGAAGAACTACATTGTAAAGCTTCTCTGTCAAGACATACACACAATATTATGTCATTTTAATATATTGTTTCGAGGTAAAGAGGATTTCCGGAGGTCAGTTTAATTTTTTTCTTTATGTTCATATAAAAATTTAAGTCTGTTAGGCTAAAATGTATTTTGTGAAATAAAATTGAGAGAGAGACAGACAGACAGAGAGAGACAGAGAGAGACAGAGACAGCAAGAGACAGAGAGAGACAGAGAGAGACAAAGAGAGAGAGGAAAACCCAACAATGATTAAAGTCCAGATATAACAATAAAAATTAAATGATATGAATATTTAAAGTAGTAAGCTAAAGTGAGGAAAAGGCACAAAATATATAAAATAGGGTATGATTTTTTTTTAGCCTCGCAGCAAGCACACTGTACATCCTCTTGATATTTAAGAACGTTGTTACCTTGTTATACTCGGGCCCCTTCCTCAATACTGTCACCGTCCTCACCAAGGTCACTGAAGAGTAGGTCCTGTTTACTCAAACCACAGTAGATCTCAAATACAGGGGAATAAAAGGATTGACCTACAATCATACCTTTTTCATTTCAGATTCACAAGTTAAATTTACATAAATGTTATTCTTACAGGTAAAATTCTACTTCAGTGTCTCAAATGTTTCTCACCTTGACATTGTCAATTAGCCACATGAGAGGAGCCAGAGTCTGAGGCCACGTATGTGGAGCTCCAACTGAATACATGGAACTCTTGGAGAGGACAAAGGGATACCTTATAGAATTACATGGAAATCAACAAACACATTTGGAAAGAGACACGTTCTCTTACAATTTTGCGAAATCAATACCTGTAACAAAATGTACACAGTATCTAGTCCTAATGTTATGGTTTTCTCACATTTGTTGTCAGGATAGTTACTAAAACAAACGTATAAAGTAATATATACTAAACATAATTAGGTACATATATACAATTTTACCTCAGGGACTTGAGCAATGCTGGGACTTCCTCCTCAACTTTTGAGTTGGGCATTTCAAAGGCTGGGTCTAGCAGACGGTAGATGAATTCAAACATCTTCACAAACTCCTTGGTGGAGGGTGACAAGGGTCTTGGCTGACAAGGTACCTGGGAAATTCTGTTCAGTCAAGAACTGGAAAGACACCAAACAAAGAGAATTCATATTAAAATATATGCAATAGCTATATATTTATACTATGAAAGGGGGGAATTTACACAATTTGTGGAAATTCATGTTTTTACCTCATGCAGCTGCCTGATACACTGCTGAACATAAGATTTATCATATATCTTTTCAGATCCTCCAAAACCTGACATTGTGCTGTTGTGGGGCATGCCCACTCCGTTAGTCCTGAAGAGAAATTATCAACATGGGAATATTTTTTCATTACAGGGAGTGCAGAATTATTAGGTAAGTTGTATTTTTGAGGATTAATTTTATTGTTGAACAACAACCATGTTCTTAATGAACCCAAAAGACTCATTAATATCAAAGCTGAATATTTTTGGGAGTTGGAGTGGGGCTTTTTTAGTTTTAGCTATTTTAGGAGGATATCTGTGTGTGCAGGTGACTATTACTGTGCATAATTATTAGGCAACTTAACAAAAAACAAATATATACCCATTTCAATTATTTATTTCACCAGGGAAACCAATATAACAGCTCAACATTCACAAATATACATTTCTGACATTCAAAAACAAATCAGTGACCAATATAGCCACCTTTCTTTGCAAGGACACTCAAAAGCCTGCCATCCATGGATTCTGTCAGTGTTTTGATCTGTTCACGATCAACATTGCGTGCAGCAGCAACCACAGCCTCCCAGACACTGTTCAGAGAGGTGTACTGTTTTCCCTCCTTGTAAATCTCACATTTGATGAGGGACCACAGGTTCTCTATGGGGTTCAGATCAGGTGAACAAGGAGGCCATGTCATTAGTTTTTCTTCTTTTAGGCCCTTTCTTGCCAGCCACGCTGTGGAGTACTTGGATGCATGTGATGGAGCATTGTCCTGCATGAAAATCATGTTTTTCTTGAAGCATGCGGACTTCTTGCTGTACCACTGCTTGAAGAAGGTGTCTTCCAGAAACTGGCAGTAGGACTGGGAGTTGAGCTTGACTCCATCCTCAACCCAAAAAGGCCCCACAAGCTCATCTTTGATGATACCAGCCCATACCAGTCCCCCACCTCCACCTTGCTGGCGTCTGAGTCGGACTAGAGCTCTCTGCCCTTTACCGATCCAGCCACGGGCCCATCCATCTGGCCCATCAAGACTCACTCTCATTTCATCAGTCCATAAAACCTTAGAAAAATCAGTCTTGAGATATTTCTTGGCCCAGTCTTGACGTTTCAGCTTGTGTGTCTTGTTCAGTGGTGGTCGTTTTTCAGCCTTTCTTACCTTGGCCATGTCTCTGAGTATTGCACACCTTGTGCTTTTGGGCACTCCAGTGATGTTGCAGCTCTGAAATATGGCAAAACTGGTGGCAAGTGGCATCTTGGCAGCTGCACTCTTGACTTTTCTCAGTTCATGGGCAGTTATTTTGCGCCTTGGTTTTTCCACACGCTTCTTGCGACCCTGTTGACTATTTTGAATGAAACGCTTGATTGTTCGATGATCACGCTTCAGAAGCTTGGCAATTTTAAGAGTGCTGCATCCCTCTGCAAGATATCTCACTATTTTTGACTTTTCTGAGCCTGTCAAGTCCCTCTTCTGACCCATTTTGCCAAAGGAAAGGAAGTTGCCTAATAATTATGCACACCTGATATAGGGTGTTGATGTCATTAGACCACACCCCTTCTCATTACAGAGATGCACATCACCTGATATGCTTAATTGGTAGTGGGCTTTCGAGCCTATACAGCTTGAAGTAAGACTACGTGCATAAAGAGGATGATGTGGTCAAAATACTCATTTGCCTAATAATTCTGCACTCCCTGTACTTTAAGCAAATGAGCAAAAATTGTTTCCTGATCAAAAATTTAAGACCAGTTAAAAAATTACAAGAATTTACATTATGCACTGTTGGATTTTAAGACGGTTCTAAGCAGAGCTTCAAAATGCAAAAAGAATAAATAGGAACAAGAGACAAAAAGTTGAGCAGGTAATTAATTGAAAACAACAACTTAACTGAAATAGGCTGTTCATCAGCTGATCAAAAGTTTAAGACTTTAGAATTTAGATCGGGGAACACACAGGATGGTCCAAAAGAGTGTGGTCAGCGCTTTGTCAGGCAGGCATTGTGAATTGCAGCATTTTCCTGTTGAAAACCCAGTCTTTACCACACAGACAAGGGCCTTCAGTCATGAGGGATGCCCGCTGCGACATATCCACATAGCCAGCTGCTGTTTGACACCCCTGCACAACCTGGAGCTCCATTGTTCCATTGAAGGAACAAGCGCCCCAGATCATGATTGCGCCCCCTCCACTGTGCTGTGTAGAAAACATCTCAGGTGGCATCTCCTTATCATGCCAGTAATGTTGGGCACCATCAGGACCATTAAGGTGACATTTTTTCTTCTCAGAGAATATAATTTTCTTCCACCTTTGAATGTCCCATGTTTGGTGCTCCCTTGCAATGTCCAAACGGTCAATTTTGAGGTGTTAAAGGAGACTTGGCCTTTAAAATTTTTTTTTGTTTTTGAAGGACTTCCGTCACAGATGCCGTCTGATGGTTATTAAGCTGCAGTCAGCACCAGTAATGGCCTTAATTTGGGACGAGGATCGTCCCGTGTCTTCATAGACAGCCAATCGGATCCTCCGGCTCAGCACCAGTGAGATTTTTTTGGGTGTGCCACTTGACTTTTTTGTTCCATAACCCTCAAACTCTTAACTAGATATTTCGTCGTATCACGTCTTACTGCGTCCAACCTCGGCAGTGATGGCACGTTGTGAGAGGCCTTGCTTATGCAGCTCAACAATCCTACCACATTCAAAAACAGTGAGCTTTTTTGCCTTTGTCATCAAGAGATCTTGACAGTGCGATTACTTGACAGGTATTGGAATTTAATTTATTATCATTGCTTCATGCTGTACTGCCACTTTAAGGAAGTGTTTGCTTCTCATATTATAATCTAGTGTGCTCAAGACTGATGGAGAAATTACCAGAGACAGTCACACCCCTATTCACAGGTACATCATGATATGTAATCTGATACTTTTGTAAACTAAATAAAAGAGCAGAGGAAGGGTGCAGCAACTCAGAGTTGATGAGGAAGCTGCCAGACGAGCAAGCTGCACTCTCCCCTTGCAAGTAAAAGAGCCAGACGGCTTTTGTGTTATTAATTTGTCGTCACGTTAGAATAAACCTAACAACAGGAAATGATAGAAAATCCAAATTTATTCACAGATTTTGGCTTTTAAAGGCTGTAGCCTTAAACTTTTGGCTGATGAACAGCCTGTTTCAGTTCAATTGTTGTTTTCAATACATTACCTGCTCAGAAGTTTGTGTCTCTTGAAACAGAAAACATAGAAAACAGTGTCATTTAAACCCACCGCTGAGGAGTTTGGAAGACCAACTATTTTTACTGATTCAGATCTTTGACTCTCAAACAGTAAAATTAACGAATCGTGAACGAATCATTTCATTCATTTTACAGCAGGTGGCGCTGTAGCCCTATAGATGGTTTTCCGATAATCGTTATTACCCATGATGCATCTCGCCGCTGGCTATGTTGTGCGGCAAAAGAAGCAAATAGGTAGACGTAAACAATCGACAACGACAACAAAAGACAAGAATATTAAATCGCTGGAGGTCGATCAGACGAAATTGTTGTATAGAGATTAACTGGACACAATTACAAAGGCAAGATATTTGGACAAGTTGAAAATAACGGATGGAAAAGACCCATACGAAGTCAACAAAGCTGAGTGGAAGCAGGTGGACATTGAAAATTAGCCAGACAATGTATATAATGTGGTATTCATTAACACAATAATACAGCATGTTAATGTAAAAATCACAGTGGCATGTACGGATGTATGTCTTTTGTGAACATCATCAGAATAACAGTTTACATGGAGGATTTACGTTTGCACTGTGTGCATTTGTCATGTATGCAAAGTACATTTTGATATATTTTAATTTTATTTACATTGAACCTATGAATTAAAAGTATAATGTAATTACCCGAAATAAAGTGTTCAGAACAGACTTTGTAATGCCTTTTGCTTGGATCTGGGTTGAAATTAGCACAGCTAATACGTAAAAGCCATAGCATCGTTCTTTCTGTCGAAATATCCTCCGTTAGCTTCCCTCGGTAACAGATTGCTTTATGTCAAAAAAAACTTAATCTTGCGATCTCCAATCCCAGATCGCTTGGTAGAACCCCACACACCACAGGTATTTACCATTATCGGTGTTATTTTATGTATTTAATATCCATCTACGCTCTTTTGCGGCACAAGATGGCGAACTACGGAACTATGGGTAGTAGCGTGACTTCATCAGAAAACTATCTATTGTGGGCGTTGTAAAGAAGGCTGCGGTTCTCCGACACTACATTTGTTGATACAATATTTATTTACAAACACTTTACACAATAACACCATATACATCTACCAGAGCTGAATACCACTAATTATGATTTCATAAATAAATAATTTGTCGGGTGTCACGTTACAAAAGAACGCGGACGGATGCTGAGAATGAATCACTCATTACTCACGGAGAGAGTGATTCGTTCAATATGAACGAATCACTCGCGAACGGCACATCACTAGCAGACAATGCTGTTGTTGTTGTCTTGTCTTGTAATGGCAGCTCCGACTGTCAGCCAACTGCTCGACTTATCCTTCCACTATACAGAGTTATTGTTATTTTCGTATATAGAAATAAAAACTATAGACACAGCGATTAGATACTGGTGACGAAATGTAGCTACAGAAAACTGTCACACCCAGACATGTTTTAAATACGTCTTTTACATTACGATACGGCAACTCTGTTAGCTTACTAGTTCACCTCATGTATCAGAGGATTACTGGATTTGGTTAAAATATATAAATATGTTCTGAGAGATTGTTATTACTTACTTTAAGACTGAGTTACTACGCTAATGTTGTTAATGACCGTTGTTAGCTATGTGGGAACGATATCCAACATTTTAGCAAAGGTACAAGAACATATTTCAAAAAGGATTTTAGCTCCGTTTCTAATTTTGACGTTAGTCTTTAAGTGTTAAATCTGAATTTGATACGTACCGCTCCATATTTCGTCCGTAGAAAGCCCAAACAGATTAAGTAATGCAAAAAAGAGAGCTACAAATACAAACTGGGCTGGTCAATTAGATCCACAAAGGGCCGCTGTGGCTGCAGTTTTTTCTTCCAACCAAGCAGCAGCACACCTGACTTGGCTTACTTAATCAACTGCTTTTAGTCTTCAGACAGTTGATTGGTCAGTCAGGTTGGTAGGCAGGTAGCAGCTGCCTGCACTATTTAATTAATGGACATACACTATTAAGTATTTACCTCAGGTTCCTTGTATTATGTTTTGCACTTTTTGTACATTCTTTTTGCATATCTAGAACATTCTACAATACTGCTTATAAACTCTAGGTTCAATGCATCTGCTTTATGTTGCCTTGTAGAATATAATCCAATCTAATCTAGATGGCTGTTGCACACAAATTATTATGTAATTAATTCCAAAGCAGAAATGAATTGAAAGGGCAAGCTAAAATAACCAAAACAATGGGCTCCTAATACAACACTTCATTGTTATTTCAGGCATAAATGGAGACAAAGTTTTTAGAATGTATGGTTTAAGCAAATATTTTTTTTGTAGTACAGCTCCAACAATATACTGTTGTTCTCCATGCTTACAGTATCCAGTAATCACAAAGCTGAATACAATTTTTTTTATGTAAAAGTTTTGAATGATTTGCAGCATAAGTTTTATATAAACCTATTACATGCACGTCTCAAAGAACAAAGCACCCCCTGCGGGAGAGGAAGCAAGGCAACTTCTTCTGTTTTAAAGGCATATACAAATTACTGGGAAATGTGTCCTCTGAGTATTTTACAAGGCATTATTTAACAAGCTACCAAGCAGTAACATACACTTGTGTCAAATTCAGCTGATATATTTTAATCACATCATAAGTCTGACTTCTCATTATATCTAGTTAAGTTGATAAAAAAAGTCAATCACAATTAAATGTAATTTTTAATCCCTCCCTTATATGAAAAACTCTTATTCTTTTTAACTCCCCTACATTTATGCTCTTGCAAATAGAGATCAGATTAACACTTTAAGAAGATCAGCGACAAAGAGAAGTAGAAAATTTATTGCAGTATTTCTTCCACCAGAAGGGTATGAATACCCTTTCCTCTTATTACTAGGGTGACCTAATACAACAAAATCTACATTTACAAAATATCCTCCTGCAATAGGCCACATATACTGCATGCGTAGTTCAAAATAGAATAAATTATATTCAAAGGACCCTGCCATTGTACAGCATGGACAAATAAAGGTGAACAAAAATATATTTTTTTTTTTAATCATTTCATTTCAAATATCTAAAAGCTAAAAGAAAAAAACATCCGGATGCTAGTAGAATAATAAACTCCAAAAACACTTCAATAAGAACATCAAAAAGACTAATTTCCAACATTCACTTAAGGTTTTATTCTTTTTTTTCCAGCTTTTTTTGTCTTCAGAGATATAAACATTTTAGTTTTTTGTTGTGTTAAACTATTATACAGTGGGAGTAGAAATGAGCGTCTAGAATCTGCTGCACAACAGCGAAGGAGCTCCCACAACAATGTTGACAAAACATTTCCCTCCAGGTCTCTTTCTATCAGAGGATTCTATCCTCTGAACTTATACACAAACAAAACATGAGCAGTCCCTCATAAGTTTTGTGTCATTTCTTTTGCAAGAATAGCTCATGTAATAGTATGTAGTGTCAAGTATTCTTGCTCTTTTCCTACAAAAATGAGGGAGGAGCAGAGGGTGGGAATCCAGTGAAGTTTGGCTGTGGAAGGTTGAGGAGGAGTAGGAGCAAGGGAAAAGGATGATTCTGATAAAATAGAAATTGGAACAGGACTTAAAAAAAAAAAAAAAAGAGAAACTCTGGAGCCATTAGCTAGCCCCTCCTTCCCGCGCTGCATACAGTGAGCGTAAAGTCTGTACTACTTTGTTGCTCAGTTTTTGGTTACTGGTTAAGGCAATCTTCTTGTAAATGATGTCCGACTCCTTAATAGTGTCCACCCAAGGCACCAGTTTACGGCCATCGCGTTTCTTGGCTTCTGTCCATGGGCCTGAGTAGGAGCCAGCCATCCAGTGGATGCTATAACCATTGGGAGTCTTATTGATGACCCGAGCTATTTGTGGCCGGTCCTTATATTTAGGGCAACAAAGAGCAATTACATCCATGGAGTCTACCGTTTCACTCATATGGCCGGGATCCGAGGAGTCGCCAGCTCGCCTTGACTTTCGTGAGGACTGCAGAGAAAATGAATGAGATTTTTAGTTATTGGCACATTTTATTTTTTTGTAAACAGACAGTGAAAGTTGATATCTCACCCCTGGAGTTCTATCATCTCCATCACTGTCATCATCGTCCGTCTCTGGTCCTGCTTGATTGCGGGGACTGGGACCTGACATGGGGCCTGATCCTCCCAGTAGGGCATTTATGGCTTTGTTTCTGATGTTTGCGCTGGCAGACGCTTCGCCTTCCTCGTCCTCCTCGTCTGGGTCAAGATGTTCCATCAGAACCTTAAACTGCAAAAGCAATGGAGGCACATTTTAGCCAAGATTTACACTTAATAGTAGTTGGGTGTCAATGTGTAAGAATCTTGTAGAGAGATGAGAGCAGGTGAGAGCTTATTGAGAAAAATACTTATAAAAAAAAAAAGCAATTGTTTTTTGCGTTGTTGAATAAACCCCAGTAATTATATTGAAGTCCATTCAATCACACATCTCTACTTAGAAAACAAGCATAAAAGCTGTTTCTTTACATCAGGAACCTGGACTTTATTAACCTGAACAATATAACTATCACATTATAAAGCTATGGTCATATAGAAAAAAAATATCAACAAATTCTTTCCTTGGGTACATGTGTTAGTGCTGTTAACATAAAGGAGAAAGTTTTTAAACCAGACTTGTGTACCCAGCAAGGCAATGAAACCATTCAACGTATTTAACTGATCTTAAAAGGATTAAAGTCATGCAAAGTATTACAAACATACTTTCAGTCAACTAGAAAAAGAGACTAATGAATAAGAAAAACAAAAAAAGAAAATGACTAATGACTAATGACATACATCCAGATACTGTCTGACTATCCGCTTCTTGATATCCTCTGTCAATGTGGCGTTGCTCATGTTGTTGCAGATGAAGTCGATGGTTCGTCTTGGGTGGAAGAGAACGTTGCTTTTTCTGTTCACTCCTTTATCGTACACTTTGGCTGACTCTGTTGGCGAGTACTTCTGAATTTTACTGTTAAAAGGTCAGATTTTTCAGTTAGTGTGGACATTTCAACAGAATGGACTGGATTGCAGGATTGAATGATTGCGATATTTTTATAGACTCTTACCTGTCTGAGAATCCATATTGGTTTTTGAGGTGCTGCTTCAGCACCAGCAACAACAGAATGCCCTGCACAGCATTAGCAAAGTCCAAGAGACCTGTAGGATATTCTGGAAGGAGCCTCATCACCTTTTCCACATCATCAACATTCAGATCATCCAGATCAGATTCTGACTCTGAACTGTCAATAGGTTTCTTGGACTTTTTTGGTCTCTGTACCACATTTTCATCATTATTTTCTCTATCTTCCCCTCTGTTGCTGTATTCTTCATCACCGCTTCTGGGGGAGTCACAGTTCATCTTCTCCTCTTCGTCCTCCCCATCTGATGTGCTCTTCCATTCCCCCTTTAGCTTCTTCTCCCTTTTCTTCGGCTCTTTTAACAAAAGCTGTACAGACACAAAAACATGTATTGAAAGCTGCTTAAGAGCAGACAACCAGATGTACGAGAGAATGTTTTATCAGAAATGAAAACCAACCTCTCTAAAGGTTTGCAACAGGTTGCTACCAGAAACTGACAGGCTGATGTCAATGTGGTGCATGATGAAGAGAGGCTCCTCTTGGCTCTGGTATGGGAAACAAGCCAAATTGTCTGCTATAAACAGCAGCATATTCACCTCTGTTTTCTGGAGAAAAAAGGGAAGGTTTGTGTCATAATTACAATTCTTAATGGTTAAAAAGTTCAAATGATTACTAGCAATTTTGTTCAATATGTTGAATTAAGCACTTTAGTCTGGTAAACACAGAACTGCAGCAGAAAAATGTTTATCACATGCATAAAAGATTGTGTTATCTCGGTGAACAGGGGATTTACACTGGACATCAAGCTCTTCAAATATGAGTCACAAGAGATTT